TCCCATATATGTAAGTGCTTCTGAAGCATTTACTTAGCATAATTTTATTGTACAACTATAATAATCAGACAGAAAAATGCATTTTGTTTCCAGGACAACAAAAATAAAAGGAACTTTAAAAGAAAGGAAACAATTTCCAGCTCTGTGGAAACTTTCCTAACAGAAAAGGAATACGAGGGGGTGCAGTAACCAAAGCTGAATAGAAAATTATATAGCTTATCAAAGCTTATTCTTTATTTCAAAATAATTGATGTCAAATAGTTATAATTCCCATATTTCTCTCCCTCCCTCCCACCCTCACACACACAACGGAAATCCTCTGGAAAACCCTAGGATTTCCCCCACCATGCAAGAAGATCGTCTCACTTTTCAAAAGTTTCTGGTCTTGATTTTAGAGTTGCTTTGTTGTTTTTTTACTCTGTGTTCTCACACTTTAATCTTGTTTCCAGTTTTGCAAACTATTATAGCTTTACAAAAAAATGGATGGGATTCAGTATTGGTACTCTAAGGCCCTATCTACACTGGCCATATAATGCAGTTTCAAACTGTAGTATATGGCACTGCAATGGGCTCTAACTGCTGGGGCCCTTCCACACAGCGGTATATCCCAGAATATCAAGGCAGGAAATCCCACATTATCTGCTAACCCAGTTCAAAGCAGATATTGTTGGATCTTCTGCCTTGAAATTCTAGGGACACTGGGAGATCACTTTCTGAAAGCTGGGCTTTGTTGAATTTGTGTGCTACTGATATATTCTGAAGGATGTTCTTCATTAAATATGTTTTCAATATTGGTTTGTGGATCCCATCTGAAAGCACATATAAGCAAGAATATTGGAGAAATGTTCAAAAAAGATAACCTGATGACACCATGTTTCTTGAAACTGAGGATGTGTATGTTGAAACGTTTAAGAATATATTGATTTAGGATAGAAGCCCCTTCCACACAGCTGAATAAAATCTGACATTTTCTGCTTTGAACTAGAATTTATGGCACTGTGAACTCAGATAACCCAGTTCAAAGTAGATATTCTGGGGTTTTCTGCCTTGATATTCTGTGTTATATGGCTGTGTGAAAGGGCCCATAGTCTCAGAACAACTGATTGCAGTGGCAGTTCCATCTTATGTCATAAAGTCTAAGTGATAAAGAGCTTCAAAGATTGCTAGTACAGAACTACAACTCAAAATACAGGAAAGGTGGTACCATGTTTATAGCCATGTTCATCAGTGTGTTTGTGCTGGTTAAACTCTGAAATAGACCAAAAACAATATCTTTCAAGTTGGCTTGCACCAAGAAGTGGATTGTGATCCATGAAAGTTCATGGGCCCTCCTCCTCCTCCTTCTATGTGAAATTTGTGAAATTGCAAATCATGTTGTGTTCAATTCCCCACTCAGCCATGGAGTCCACTGGATGACCTTGAGTGGGTTCCCACTCTCACTTCCAGAAAAACTCATGACAGGTTGACCTCAGGGTGGCCATGATAAGGAAGTGACTTGAAGGTACACAACAACTCAGTTTTTCAACTTTGTTGCTTCTTGTAGATAATATGAGCTACAGATGCAATATACAAATACAAAGTGTATGATACAGGATTTTCAGTTCCTATTTTTATTGCAGAAGTGTCTTTAAGTTGGCTGAAAGAAAAGATAGGACACTTATTAATAGCTTTAACAAGATGTGGTAAATTAACTCTTAAAGGCCGACAGTCTCTGATTTCCAAGTTGTAATTGGGAGGTGACGAGTGGAATTTAACTACAAAAGACACACAACTACTCAATTTTAATGCTTTTTTTAAAAAAAGAATTATTTATTAAATATAGCAAACAAACAGAGATTGCTCTTGAATGATGAATAATGCATTTCCTAACTGCTTTGTTGCTAAATAGTGATACATCAAATTATATATCATGTTATTTACTTAGCTTTCAAATAATTATCATTGCTATATTATATATAGTGGTGAAAAGATCTCTACATGTTTTTGGGATGCCCTGCATGTGTGTATCAAAGTACATACACAAACACACACATACATTTTGATGCTTTCCTTAGATGGAGAGTCAGTTGACTATGCTTTCTGAAGATGGGATATTGGAATGCATCAATAGGAGAATATTGCCTAGATCCAGGGAAGTCATGCTACCCCCTATTTTGCCTTGGTCAGACTACACCTGGAATACTCTGTCCAATTCTGGGCACCACAATTGAAGGGAGATGTTGACAAGCTGGAATGTGTCCAGAGAAGGCTTGCTAAAATGATCAAGGGTCTGGAGAACAAGCCCTATGAGGAACACCTTAAAGACCTGGTCATGTTTAGTCTGCAGAAGAGAAGGCTGAGAGGAGACATGATAGCTATGTATAAATATGTGAGGGGAAGTCATAGAAAGGAGAGAGCAAGCTTGTTTTCTGCTGCCCTGGAGACTAGGATGCGGAACAATGGCTTCAAGCTACAGGAGAGGAGATTCCACCTGAACATGAGGAAGAACTTCCTAACTGTGAGAGCTGTTCAGCAGTGGAACTCTCTGCCCCGGAGTGTTGGGGGAGGCTCCTTCTTTGGAGGCTTTTAAACAGAGGCTGGATGGCCATCTGTCGGAGGTGCTTTCAATGCAATTTTCTTGCTTCTTGGCAGGGGGTTGGCCTGGATGGCCCACAAGATTTCTTCCAAGTTTATGATTCTATGATTAGACAACAGTTATCTCCATCAAACCAGCTTTCTAATCTTTCTGCATATTAGACAACCAGTTGTCTGAAATCATCTGGTGGAGCTATGCATCTCAGTTCATCATCATGACTTGAAAAACAAAACCAAATTCTAATAGGACATCTATAGTGTGCTTAAGAAAATCTCTTAACATGAGGTCACCTGAACCAAATCATTTTAAACTTCTAAAGTAATGAGATTGCAAACATGATATTATAGAAAATTCATAAGCTATTTCCATCCCTTGGAGTTCAGAATTACATTATGCAGGGAATATAATTAACTCTGCTGTATTATATTGTAAGTAGCAGGTTAAGAGATTAAGAACCATTCATTAGCATAAGCAGATATAGAGTAACAACATGTAGTAAGTTAACTAAAACTTTAGTAGGAACTCAGGTATAAAGTAGACATCGAGGGGGAAAGCATTCTGTCATATCACAATAATTGAAACCACATATTAGATACAAATGAGAGATTATGAAAGGTGAAAGCAGTAGGAAAAGCTGCACATAAAAGGAATTACTTTTTAAAATAAATGATAATATCTCCGCGGGGTAGCTCAGTGTTCTTCCCTACAAAGAGGGAAGAACAAATGTAGAAGAATATTTTGCCATCATAATAAAATGACTGAATCATGTCCGATGTCCCACACACACACACACATACACACACACACACATATATATATACAGATATATATATACACACACACACATATATTTAAGCAGAATACAAATTTGTTTTTAAAGATATTCCTTCATTGTATAACTAAATAAACTTCTCTTTTCCTAACACTACTACTTGGGATTATCAAATGAGGCTGACTGGCAAGTACTTCAGGGCAGATAAAAGGGAGTACTTCTTTATACAGCAAAGGGTTTAGCTATGAGACTCATTTCCACAGCTCTTTAAAACATAAAGTTGTATTTTAAACTGTAGGGAAAAGGGTGATTGTGAAGTTCACATTGCTGGGAATGGGGAAGACAGAACTGGAGAACAAATGAATGTTTACAGCTGCAGTCATGTTACATGTTTGAGGATGGAAACACCTGACTATGTCAACAAAGCAGACTGGTTGGTGCAAATGTATGAACAGGCTGAAATGCATAACTGACTTTGCTTATCAAAGAGAAAACCTTGGTTGATATTAAGAAGGACTCATGTTTATTTTTGTGAAGACAAGATGGGGGTATATCATAAATCTGGCTTTTGATAGATACATAATAGAAATATGTGGTTAGTAGAAGTTTAACAAAGGTAATATATAACAGAAATTCACATATATATCAGTCATAATCTCTGACAAAAGGGAGAAGAAGTAATATTATCAGTCCCTGCAATCTGTTTGTACTATACAATGTGTAGATTTATGAATATAGGTTTCCTTTCCTTTGGTTTATATACATCAATTTTGGAGTGTTAATAAAATATTGATAAATAGACAGATTCATAAAAATTAGGGCCATCAATGGCTCCTTCTGCTCTGCCCTATATCCCAGGATCTGATCCCAGATTAGCTGTTTATTCCAGATTGTCTGGCAGTGGACACTCATATAATCCACTTCAAAGTAGATAATCTAGGATCAGATCCTGGGATATAGGATATAGGATAGACTGTAGATCCAGGCAATGGCCAATACTGAGGTTGGCTATACATCATTGCCAGGATCAGAGACAAAATACCCCTGCATATCAATGGCTGATGAACAGGAGATCATCAGACTTGCTAATGAAAAGGCTTCTCCTAGGCACCTGATTGGTGATAATGTGAATAGATATCAGATTAAATAGGTCATCTGTCTGATCTAGCATGGCTTTTCTTATGGTGTCCATAGCATATGAACAACAGATTTCAGAGATTTTTTTTCCAAGTAGGAGTTTGTTTTTTTAATGGCCAATAAGTTCATCCCTTTGTCAGTCATGGTTATAAGTGTTCCAGCACCAAGGATGATACAAAATGTCTACTGACTTGAGATGGGAGGACATGTGCCCCACTTCTAACATTACTTTCTTGCCCTTCCTTAGTCCCAAATGTTTCACTCTGAGAGATTCTTCCTTTCCTGGAGGACTGTCTATAGTATCAACAGCCACCCCTACCTAGTCTGTGGATCCCTCAGAGCAAGGCATTGTTGTTATTTTGCTATTGTTTGATTTGTTCTGCTTTTGTGATGTCTGTTTCTATTATATTGTGTTTTGTGGCTTCGGCCTGTGTAAGCCGCATCGAGTCCTTCGGGAGATGCTAGCGGGGTACAAATAAAGTTAATAATAATAATAATAATAATAATAATAAGGCATTTCTAGGATTGCAATCTCTGGAGAAGCACATACCAGCTGCTTCTCTGCTGCTGGTGATATAGTTTTAAGACTTGAAAGACAAGATGCCATGCTTTCCCACACTGAGCCCACTTCTCTAGGTGGTCAACTTGAGGCCTGCATATCACATCAAGAGAGGGAACTTAAGGGTAAGTATGATGTTTCCTGGAATATAATGAAGAAATATTATTCTTACTACACTGGCTAGTAATAATGTGTACGTAATTTCTAATCACTTCATTCAAATTTTGAAGCAGATCTTATAACAGCTACTAACAGTATTGTTGCTTCCCTATTTCAGATTCCAAGCTCATCTTCCGTGGGACTCACAGTGGCAGGAAGGAAAGCCACCCATCCACAGGAAACAAGGTACAATAAGGATATAGTTAGAAAACACTGAAACATTAAAATGATCAAGAACAGGTTTTTAAAAGCTGCAAAAGTACGCTGAATTACTTATGTTAATAATACAGGCGGAGATTAATTGTTACAATCAGCCATCATTTGTGTAACTTCACTTTCAAATCAGCAGCATTCGCATTTCTAGATTAAATATACATCTGAAATGATCAACTTCCTAAAACGGATGTGTGGGCAGATGTAAATTACTCTGCTAAACCTCAGACAAGTTTGAATGTGAAATATTGTGAAGCACAGAGCACAAAGTCCTCTTGACAACCACGTTAACTCAAGTACTTGGGTTATATTACCATCGAAGTCAAAGGGGCTGAATTGGCTTGAATTCTAGTAATTCATTTTAATCATGTTATGAAGGCAGGAGATAGCTGAATTACATCCTGTGAGGCATTTCTACAATCCCTTTGTTTGGATCTAGAAGTACTTCAAAAGAGAAAGAGAAAATTATAAAGGCTGATCTTAACATTCTGCAGTTAGTTACAGCTGGGGGAATGTTTGTACTGAATTGTGAATGAATTCCATACAGTCTCAATCCAAAGACCTTCATGCAGAGAAGGAAAAGAGATTGCTGGCACAGTGTATTTGGCATGGCACTTTTCACTGCAGATGGGGAAGAATGCCAGGGTTCCAGCCCCCTTTTCTATTGATGATTGATAGCTTCAGAGCTCTTGGCTGGTGTCCATGCAGTCCAGTCCAGCTAAAAAACTTTCATGAATGATGATATGTACTGGCATTAATCTGTACTTTTTCTCATACTTCTAGCATCATTGGTGAAAAGCTAATTCATCTTACACAATGCTAGCAGGAAGGTGCCACTTTAATTGCCATGGCTATATCCTGTGAAATCCGAAGGCCTGTACCTTGGGAAGCCATTGGAAGAGCTCTCTGGCAGGTAATTCTAAATACCACACTTTAAACTGCAAATCCCAGGTTTCTGTATGCTGTTACCATGGCAGTTATCATGAGTCATAGGGTATAATTGTGAAGGCCCTTCACATGTGATGGGGAAAACGTTGCAGAGAGGGAGCTGCATGCAGGGTGACAGATTCACTCCCCTGCTCCCTCTTTCTTTGCAGAAGCCAGCAAAATGGGACATTTCAGCTGGGCTTTCTGATAAGGCCATAAGTCTACTTTCTCAGATGCATGGTGTAGTGAATTCCTTACCTGTTAGGCTTGGAAAAGCTATAAAAGTAGGCCCAGGAAGTTCGGCAGCCATTTTGGAAAGGGTGTCAGGGGCATCCATTTTAAATCTCATTTCCTGAAGAGGGTGTGCTTAGGAGCTTGGAGGGAAATGAAAGAAGTTAGTGATTGGCCAGGAGAGAGTGGGCGGAGCTTAACTTAGAAAAAGAAAAAAATGACTTGAAGGGGGTGTTTTAAAAACCCTGTCAGGGTTTTGACACCCTTGATTCTGGGTGTGAAAGGAGCTAGGAGTTTGGAGTGGAGAAGAGTAGTGAGAGAGGCCTAAAGTGGTCAGTTAGCTAGCAGAGATAGCTAGGGGGAAGATTACAGCTATTAGGGAAGATAGCTGGGGAGTGGAGAGACAGATGTTAATGTTAGATTAGTGTAATGTGAATGTTTAAATGTAATTTTGTGTAATGCCTGTGAATGTAACCTGACTGCATTAGCAGAGAGTGTATTGACTCTGAAAGGGCCATTGTTCTGTGGGGTCCCGCAGGGTTCTGTATTGTCCCCTATGTTGTTTCACATATACATGAAACCATTGGGAGAGATCATCTGGAGTTTTGGGGTGCGATGTCATCTGTACGCAGATGATGTCCAACTCTGTTACTCTTTTCCACCTGCTACTAAGGAGGCTGTTCAGGTCCTGAACCGGTGCTTGGCCGCTGTAACAGACTGGATGAGGGACAACAGATTGAAACTAAATCCAGACAAGACAGAGGTACTCCTGGTCAGTTGAAAGGCCGAACAGGGCATAGGGTTACAGCCTGTGCTTGACAGGGTTACACTCCCCCTGAAGGTGCAGGTTCGCAGCTTGGGAGTGATCCTGGACTCATCGTTGAGCCTGGAACCCCAGGTCTCGGCGGTGGTCAGGGAAGCTTTCGCACAATTAAAGCTTGTGCGCCAGCTGCGCCCGTACCTTGGGAAGTCTAATTTGGCCACGGCAGCCCATGCTCTGGTTATATCCCGTTTAGACTACTGCAACGCTCTCTATGTGGGGTTGCCTCTGAAGACTGCCCGGAAGCTTCAATTAGTCCAATGAGTGGCAGCCAGATTGCTAACAGGAGCAGGGTACAGAGACCATATGACCCCTCTGTTACACCAGCTCCACTGGCTGCCGATTAGCTTCCGAGCACAATTCAAAGTGCTGGTTTTGACCTATAAAGCCCTAAACGACTCCGGCCCAGTCTACCTGTCCGAACGGATTCTCCCCTGTGAACCATCAAGGTTATTAAGATCTTCCGGAGGGGCCCTGCTCTCGGTCCCACCACCCTCGCAATCAACAACTTTCTCATAAAAGGGAGATGGTGTGGTGTCTAATGTGGACAGTGGATCTGTCTTAATTGAACCCAATCCAGCAGTCCAGACTGCCCCAAAGCAGCAGTGTTTTAAGCAAACATTGATGTGTCCTTCAGCTTTGCCAAATGTGAGGCAAAGCTGGTTCAACCCTCCAAATTCTGGGACACCCTCTCAGAAAAAGAAATCAGAACTGTATTATATGAGCAAGTGCATCTGCACATGTACACACAGACAACTGTGAAGAAATATGTTATAGCTGACCCATCCCAAGAATAAGAAAAGCAGCTTACAGTCTATCCTATGAACATCTGTCTGGGAGAAAGCTACATAGGATACATGGAAAGGACTTCTAGGTATACACGTGCTTATAAGAATCTGTGCATCTGAGGTTGAATGAACAACAGTGTATGGAAAAAACAATTTGTCCTGACTGTGCTCTACACCTATGCTCTGTACACTTCAAGACTGGCAGGTTTTGCATTTTCTTTTTAGAATATTACTCATGCAATCCTGTATCTTTCAACATATTTCTCTAGGTGAGGTATGGCCACAGCAGAAAAGACTGGTACAATCTCTTCGATCTACTCACTATACCCCTGGTGACATAGCCTACGATTGCATTGGCTTTTCTGGTTGCCACAATTCACTGTTGACTAAATAGAATTGTGCAGAAATAGGATGAAAAAGGGATTGATGTACAGCAGGGGACAGAATAGAATAATGGCTGGAGTTATTGTGGTAGTTGAGAAAGTTAGTTAGAGGTGGGAGCTAGAAACTCTGTTATACTTGCAGCTATGTACTTTTAAAACTGATTGGACAAGACATATTTTAAAAACACTCAAAATCAATTTTCTCACAATTTCTTGCAATTTATTTGTTTTTGTTTTCTTTAAAAATTGCATTCAGTGACTGAGCCAGATCAATTTTTAGGGTTATAAAGTTGATTTACTATTTTATCTCTGAAAGGTAGTGAGGAAGAATCTATGATGGATGGAGCTCCAGTACAATCAATTAATTATAAACGAAGATAAAGAGGCAATGTTATTAACTTGGGAATGGTAACAGATTACACATCAGAAAATGTGCCTCCCAAAAGAACAGCAAAACTAATTCAGAAATTTGAAAGTGGAGTTTGTGATCTATTTCCCACCATGTAATTATATTCAGAGAAGGTGAAAAACTGAAGATCAGGGTCTTCTTCTGATATAACATTAGTCTACACCTGCATCTGTTTGGCACAATATGAAGAAGCATATTATGACTTAGAAAGTTACACAGGACATAAGGGAAAGTCCTCCTGAATGAGACCAAGGGGCTATCCAGTCCTGCATTCTGGTTTTTGAGGAGGTTAATAAGAAACCCACAAGATCATGAATACAGAAGCCTGATCCTCCTCTAGCATCCAAGCAGGCCTGTAGCAAGAAAAAATGAGGGAAGGGGGAGGTTGAAACATATATTTTTTTAGTAAATCATGAAGTGTAGGTCCATAACATAAAATAATTTAAATTATATGACTTGTTCTATATTTTTGTATAGACTTAATTAAATAAAATTTCCATTTTAGCTACAAACTTTCAAGTCTAAAAAATGTAAAAATGACTCTTAATTGGTAATTTAGTCGTTACAAAAGAATTCCACAACACTAGTTGAAAGCACTTGAAAACTTGTGTCAATACACTGACAAAAGTCAGGCTCCATCAATAAACTTTGGTGGACACTCAAGAGTGCAAGTCCAGTCAACCTTTTTTGCCCATTGTGTTTCTTATGTGTGTTTTCAAGCGGTTAAGTGTTGAAATTGATCATTCATTTGTAGCTGTTAATACTGGCAATGTTGTAGAAATCTGAAGAAGTTTCTTCACATTGGGAAAAAAAACTATATGCTTCCAGTGCATTTGATGGTTTTTCTTCAGGTGTAATCTTTTTCCATTTTCTACACTACAGGTCAAACTCTTCCATCAGTGTGTCAGTATCTTGACGGCATTCATTGTAAAGTTCTGTGCACTTGTTCAAATTGGATGTTAAATGCCACAGTTAATAGATAGGAACACTTGCAGTTCCAGAACTACTTCCCTGTGCCTTACAAAACTTTCTTGAAGCTGACTGCAGAAAAGGTTCAGAAATGGGATGTAAACACTTAGCCTGCAACATTCCATTGGTGTTGGTGAAGTTGCCTGTTGTTGTTTATTCGTTCAGTCGCTTCTGACTCTTTGTGACCTCATGGACCAGCCCACGCCAGAGCTCCCTGTCAGTCGTGGCCACCCCCAGTTCCTTCAAAGTCAAGCCAGTCACTTCAAGGATACCATCCATCCATCTTGTCCTTGGTCTGCCCCTTTTCCTTTTTTCCTTTCATTTTCCCCAGCATCATTGTCTTCTCCAAGCTTTCCTGTATTTTCATTGTGTAGAAGTTGCCTGGCTATTGCTTTTACAAGTCTGCCTTGAACACATGCAAGGAATCCTAACTTCTCCACCCATAGACTCTACCACTGATCTCGCAGTGTCAAAGATCTCCTGAAATTATTTCACAGATTCTGTGTGCATCTCCCTGGCTTTTTCTAAGAAACTGTTGATATGTTGCAGACCACTGTGAATTAGCAAGAAGTTTTCGGCCAAGCACAAGATGTTCTGAATGGTTCTTTGTTTTTGGTCTCCATTAAAGACTATATTGCATGTTTCCATCACACAAATGATTTAGCAATCAATTCACCAAGCTTCTGATGACCACCTTTACCTCAACTTCTCCTCCAAACACCACACAATACTTACAGAGTACACCTTTAGATGAAATGAGTAGGCTAACCAGGGAAATGAGTAGGCTAACCAGAGAACCATTTGGGTCGAAAACTTAGATGCCTTTTCTTATCCTCAGTAATACACATCCTGGCAATGGAGTCTGTGGATTTTGCACTCATTGAGCTTTCATTTGATCACCGAAACAGTCTTGTTCATAAAGTCCAAAGTCTAACAATGGCATGGCTTCTTGTCTTTCCTCCTTGTTCTGTGGTTTCTTTGGCAGGGCTTGGATTAGCTGAACCAGTGGTGGACAAGGCAGGGAGCTCTCACAGGGAATTTTCATGGGTGAAGTTGGTATCACTGCTGTGTAGCAGGAAACCAGTGGAAGCGAACAAGCAGTGCCAGTCATCAGTAGCTCATCAACTGGCATTGTGGTGAAGGTTAGAGATGAGTGTCCTCATTTTGTTTCCCTACAAGTGCAAAGTTCACGCTGTAATAAGATACCTAAATTCTAAGGGCATGAATGCCTCGGCAATTCATCACAAAATCATTTCAGTTTATGGAGAAGACGTAATGTCAAGACAGCATGTGAAAAAATGGGTATGGAATATATTGTGAGACCATGAAAAAACTTTGCAGAGCAATTCAAAACAAACATAATGGGATGCTGATGGTAGGAGTCTGTCTCTTTCATGACAATGCATGTCCATACAGCGCTCATGCAACACAAGAATTGTTGACTTCATTTGGCTCTGATGTTTTAAGCCACCACCCCTCTCACAGCCCCAAATTCACACTGAGTGACTCTCATCTGTTCACTAAATTGAAGGAACATCTTGGTGAAAAGCACTTTTCTGACAATGACGAGGTGAAAATCAAAGTGATGAACTGGCTGAAAAGGGTGGAGGAAAACTTCTATGACACAGGCATAAAAACTCATCCCACAGATGAGAAAATGTATTGAAGTTAATGGTAGTTATGTGGAAAAATAATGTAATACCTATGCTACAGTCCATGTAAGATATATATATATATATATATATATATATATATATAATTTTTTAGTTGTTATATACCTGGAAACATCATAAATTCTATTAAAACTTTTTTTCTTATGGAGTTTCACCAGAGGAATCCCATTCTGATATCGGTTTCAGTGGATTATATTGTCTTCATATCAAAAATGTTGATTAAACATCTGCAATATGAAAGCTTGATCACTCCCACTATGTCAGCTATTGCTGCTATTGCAATGCAGATTGGTGGAAAGATAGGTAATTATATTATTATTTGCAGTATTTATATACCACTTTTCTCACCCCTAGGGGGACTCATAGTACGGATAACTTATCTATGTAATGATAATGATAGTATGGATAACTTATCTAAATTGAGATAGTCAGAACTCAAGCTAAGGTCAAATAATAGATCAGCTTCTTCCAAAGCTTTCAGTCAGAGCAGGGAGTACTTGGAAGATATCAGAGGAAAGAGGCCAGATCAAGTTTCCAAGGTATCATTCTGGAATCCAAGGAATGCTGAAAGTGAGGAATGAGGTGGGTGAAAACTGAGTTTTGTTGTCAGCATTGGCCTCTACCGCAAACATTTTTTTACAGCTGCAACTGGGAGATCTCACACACCTGCAGATCTTTTGGAAAATCTCTTCCTACACCTTGCACTTCTCTTAAACTGTCCCTAATGTTCCTTACCTTCTGATGCCA